CAGTCTTTCCTTTCCCTTAACTCCTTAAGGCACCGACTCATGCTGAGGTACAATTCCATAACACCATCTGTCCTCCAGTACCTCAGCCAAGTTTAAACCCAGACAACAGACAACTAGTTGACCATGTGTGCGGTACACACTCCAGCAGATCTCAAGACCAGAATACTTTGAGCAATTGTACCATCCTTACTCAAGCTCCAGCTATGATCTAACACCGTAGCCCTACGGTTAGCACCTTTACGTTCATATATCCTCCAACATAGCCAAACAAGTGCCAGAACACAATGCCCATAGCTGGTTGTTTTTTTTTGCTAAATACATTGTGATGAGCAAATTGTGCGATGACAGTACATAGATCGATAAAACTGTGTAGAGGATGAGCTTGTGTAAGGACAGCGGTCACTTTTCTCTAATTGGAAAATTATGTGGACCAAATGCCTCCATAGTGTTAAAGAAAAACAAAAGCACGCAGGATACACTGCACGTCCAAATATTCAACGCACAGGATTTCTCTCAAGCTGCATGTTATGACCAACACCCATTGTATAGCAAAACAAATAAATCCCTCCAACTATACATTGCAGAAATCCAGAGAAATTCAAATCCAAATATCATGGAGGACAAATTCACTTTGAAGGCCAATGATATGGTGGAAACTTAAGGAGAAGGGATATTTGAGAAAATAACTCACTTTGGCGGCGAACACTTACTATTGGTTCACACGTGAATAACAGCCTCTTGGGTGAGGTACCATAGAGCTCCGAGTACCTCTGAAATCGCTTTCCAGATGAAGTCAGCACATTCAGGAAATGATTACAACCAAAAATAAAATTTTACAAACTGAAGGTCAGGAAACTGAGAGATGGTGTAAATGCAATTCAATACAATTAATTGTGCACTTGAGCCTAATAAGATCTATCCAGCTGCTTATATTTTAATATCTATAAAATTGTTGCAGTAAATCTTATAATGTAAAATCTTCTATAACGGGTAGAACATAGTTTAAACCACCAGCTTAATACATATTCTGGGAGCAAATGATAAACTGCTTCCATTGTGCTAGCAAAATGCAACTTCAGTCTTTAAAATATAATGAAATATCTTGTTGCAGTTTGCATGTGAAATAATGCACCATTTCATGAGGCCCAACTGAAAATATTGTTTGTCTGAAGGTAAACACCAAAGTTTAACAACGCAGACAGACAGACCCTGGTGCCATAATAAAAACTTTTTTTTTAGAAACATAAAGGACCAACAAATATTATTTGCGGTATTTGTTATACTGATGAATGCTGCATTTCGTTTTTTACATTCAGCTGAGTTTCGCAAACTTCAGGGCACGTGAAGATATCAACACAGTTATCTTAACTGTGAAACAGATTTATAGCTTTGAAAAACAATTAAATGTAAAAATTGTATTTTGCCGACAACCACATGAATTTGCAAAACTACAGCATAACCCAGTTATAGCCCAACTGTCTCTGATAGTAGCAACGTAATCAGTCTATAAGCATCGCACGTGAGGCCATTTAATACTGTTGCCATGACAATGTCCCCGGCTGTTCTAGGTTTGGAGTAACAATTGTGCTGATGTTTTCAAGCAGCCTATAATGTACAATCTAAAAGGGATATGAGACCCAGCTTCCATCTTTTCAACTATACACACACGCACACGCGCCCGCGTCAAGCCATTCTAAAGCAAAGCAACAGAATGAAAACGCACGGGGCTAAAGTTGGAGTAAGTTCACCTACAGCAACACGCACAAGGCCTTACTATCATTAGCAATAACTAATCACAGACTATCTACAGCACTAGGAATGGGGAACTGACCCCCCACCCCCCCCAAAAAAAAAAAGATCAAAAGCACTTTCCGGGTTTTCAAGATGAATAGTTTTGAAGAACAACTTAAGACGCGTCGCTGAGGCCCTGAAACATGGCAAACTAATTAGAATCACATTTTCTTTTGCGACACGAATTTAAATAACATGTCACGGCAAATCAATTTTAAGGTCAGATTTAAAATACTAGAAAACTTCAATGGAAGTGGATTCTGATCAAGTTCATGCAAGCAAGCACACTGCTCCAAATTCCAGTACCGCACAGCAACTGTGCATTTCACTTTCAGGTATCACTGAGAACTTGCAAACTCCTTGCACTGCATTTATATTTTTTCCCAAAATAACTCCAAAAAAGGTGGCTAGCTAGTTTTTGGTATCATTCAGTGGCAAACCAAGACCTTATGTTTGCCTATCTTAATCCACTAACAATCCTTGGGGAAAGAGAAACAAGCAAATGTTTATTCATATGTCAAGTCAACATGATCCAACACGAATATCACCAGTCATCTTTATTGGCTTCTGACTGAAACCTGGAAAACTGATTTGATGCTAATTTATTTATTATCCTCCCCTTAAAATTAGAACTAAGGAAAGAGTTTACTGTTAGAAATGAGTTGGAAAAAACAAGCACCACAAAATACTGCAATGTCCAATATATTAAGTATTCAGACGTGGAATCTGCGACTGGGAATTTATGAAGAGCAGCTTTTGGCTTAAACAGGCCTTCTATAGTCAATAATGGAACACAAACAAGATGTCGATGTCAAGCACATCAGTATAATCAGCAGCTGTAGATCAACAGACCCACCATAGACAACAATTTGAGGTTCGATCAGTACCCAAGCCAAAGCAGAAGTCCCTCAACATAAAAGCACAGCAGCCCTATTGCTGCCTTACAATCTTCAATTAGAAGCAAACTATCAAGATGAATTATCCTATGTTGTAAACAATGTTTTGCTTTTCTAGGGTACATGATGAACAGATTTAAATCCGCAGACTTTAAATTAAAATAATGTAACATTATTTATCAAGAGATATCTTGCACAATTTTCAAGGTTAGACATAAAGTTCATTTTTACAGAAAATACAGTGAATTGTCACTTAATCCAATTGCTCATTTCAAGAATAAATGAAACGGTATTGAGCCAAGAGCATTTACTTCAAAAAATACTGAAGACTCCTGGGCAGAACCCCCAAGAATGATAACTTTTAAAATAAACATTTAAAAAAGAAACAAAAAACTAAATTTAGATTTACAAGCATCATAAAATATCAATGAACTTGTCTATTAACATGCACACACAGTTTTAATTAATTCACATAAGAATAATAGAAATCAAATAATCTAATTCATTCTTTACAACCTATGAATGTCTAACAAAAATAGACACTGAGATAAGACTGCCCTAATTAAATTAAGTTATTCACAAACTATAAGGCCCCTTTTAATGTACTCGTGCATCAAGCCACAACGAGAGAGCAATCAGAGCAAGTCTTGAATTACTGTAAGCAAGCATTTAATGGATCATTTTATTCCTCCTTCAACTAGACATTTCATGCATGAATAGGGTCTGATGCACAAAACATTAATGTGGGCTACTTACAAGGTTAAACATTTACCATGAATTTGTTCTAAAATGTGCAGAACAAAGTTCAAGCAAACTTAGTTTTAAATAAAAAGGCAATATTTCATCATAGCAATGATGCAGATATACATATCCTTCATCTTGTCTAATTTACACTATTACTTCAATGTCACTGTGGATAAACACACCACACAGTGTTTAGATCTAGAAGGTCTAAAGAATGATCATTGTCGAGATGAGTTAACCAACTGCGATTGAATAATTGGGCTTAATCTCCCAGTCCAGAAAGTAGGTGTAGTTAGTGAAATGACCAGATTCCCATTCCAAATTTACTATCCAGCAATCCCTGCTGAAAATAAACAGGCTTGCATGGTGGCGAAACAAGGACTAGTCTCAAGCTTGGATATGATGTGGATCACTGCTGAATAGTTGCACAGTTACTGTCATTTGAACAGGTAGCAGAGGACCACTGCTGCTCATGGAACCATACCTATGCAAGGATTATTATCATTATTATTGTTATTATCATCATCATCGCCAAGTCCTCAGAAAGCAAATTGGAGAAAGGTATCTTTTCTTAACACAAAAATAAAGACATGCATTTGAAAACGACTAAATTGGTAGCTGGACCTCAAACAACCCACAGACAGTCCAAACCCATGAAAAGTTTTTTTTTAAAAAAGACAGACCAAAAATTAGAGAGACGTTGCGAGAGAACTGCTGTCCTAATTAAATCCTATTGTACAGAAAGCCATTATTTTTTTCCACTGAAACGAAATCTCAGCAAAAAAAAGCCCCCCCCTCAACATTTCTGTGTCAGTTTGAATGTCCTCCTGCATCAAGAAGCCTCAGACAAGGAACAGCACTCACAGAGAGAGAAAGAGAGAGCGAGAGGGGGAGGGAGAGAGAGAGGGAAGGAGGGAGAGAGAGAGGGAAGGAGGGAGAGAGAGAGGGAAGGAGGGAGAGAGAGAGGGAAGGAGGGAGAGAGAGAGGGAAGGACGGAGAGAGAGAGGGAAGGAGGGAGAGAGAGAGGGAAGGAGGGAGAGAGAGAGGGAAGGAGGGAGAGAGAGAGACACAAGTAAGTTCTGAATTCCTGGTGAAACATTTAATGGGTCATTTTAATTCCTCCTCCTTCTCCCTTCACACTGCACTCATTCACGTAGGCATCGGGGGTTTGCTGCACACACGACGGTTTGAGTGAGTCACTGACTGACTTGAGGGAAGAGGGGGAGGATAATGAGGGAGGGAGGGAGGGAAGTGGGAACGAGGGAGAGGGAGGAGGAGGAGATTGAGGAGGGAGGGAGGGGGATAATGGAGGATAATGAGGGAGGGAGGGAGAGAGGGAGGAGGATAATGAGGGAGGGAGGAGGGGAGGGAGGAGGATGAGAGGGAGGAGGATAATGAGGAGGAGGAGGGGAGGGAGGGGAGGGAGGAGGGAGGAGGATGATGAAGGAGATTGAGGATGGAGGGAGGAGGGAGGGAGAGGAGGAGGGAGGAGGATGAGGAGGAGGGAGAGGGGGGGGAGGGAGGAGACAACACCACAGCTGGTGCTACAGTTACAGCCGCTTTACTCACCCTCTTTTGCACCAGAGAATACTTAGGAACAATTACAGATCTTTCTCTCTCTCTCTCGCAACTGCCCCCCCGCCCCCCTCCCCCCGCGCTCGCTCGCTCGCTCTCTATCGCTGCGCCCCTCAAGGGCGCTCGCGCGCCACCGCCGGCTCGAACTAACCTGACAGGGAGGGGGAGGGGATGCCATGGCGACCCGCTGATTGACAACCCCGGAGCCAATCCAAGAGGGGAACGGGAGGAGGTGGAGGGGGAGCAGCCAATAGACGGGGAGCAGGGGGGGGCGGGGAGCAGCCAATAGGCGGGGGGCAGGGGGAAGTGAGGAGCAGCCAATAGGCGGGTGGGGGCAGCGGAGCAGCCAATAGGCAGGAGGCAAGGGGGTTGAGGAACCAATAGGCGGGGGGGTTAGGGGCAGGAGCAGCGGGGCGAGAGGAGCCAATGGGCGGAGGGCAAGGGGGCGGGGCGTTAATTAACGTTGTCCCAAACCCGGGACTGGACTTGAAATTCCCCCCAACGGCCGTGAGCGGCGCGAGACCAACCGTCACCTCGCGGGGGGTCACGTGTCCGGGCGGGGGGGGGGGGGAGGAGACGCTCGACGCATCTGACAGAGAAACACACTCTCCCCCACCCCCACACCCCCTCCTGTCCCCCCCCCCCCACACCCCCCCGTCCCCCCCCCCCCCTCCCCCCCACCCCCCACACCCCCCCCCCCTCCCCCCCCACACCCCCCCCCCCCTCCCCCCCCGGGCCGGGGATGACCTGACGGAGCAGCTTTGAACGCGCGTCTGAGGCACAAACACACAACTATCGTGAGAGGAAAATATACCCCCACACACACACCCTCACACACACCCTCACACAGAGACAGACACACACAGAGACAGACAGACACACAGAGACAGAGAGAGACAGACAAACACACACACACACATAGAGACACAGAGACACAGACAGACAGACAGACAGACAACAGGGACACACAGACGTAGTGACTCCCCATAAACACACACATGATAGGACGCTTCTCGCCCGTTCGTCCCACCGACATCTATCGCTGTGTGTGTCTCTGTCTGTATATGTCTGTCTGTCTGTCTGCGTGTCTCTGACTGTGTGTGTGAGTCTTTGTGTGTGTCTCTGTTTGTGTGTGTGTATGTGTCTGTCTCGGTGTGTGTCTCTGTGTGTCTGTCTCGGTGTGTGTGTGTGTGAGTCTGTGTGTGTCTGTCTGTGTGTGTGTGTGTCTCTGTGTGTGTGTGTGTGTGTGTGTGTGTCTCTCTCTGTGTGTCTCTCTGTGTGTGTGTGTGTGTCTCTCTCTCTCTCTGTGTCTGTCTCTGTGTGTGTGTGTCTCTCTGTGTCTGTCTCTGTGTGTGTGTGTCTCTGTCTCTGTGTGTCTCTCTGTCTCTGTGTGTGTGTGTGTGTCTCCTCTCTCTCTCTCTGTGTGTCTCTGTGTGCGTGTCTCTGTGTGTGTGTGTGTCTCTCTCTCTCTCTGTGTCTGTCTCTGTGTCTGTGTGTGTGTGTCTCTGTGTCTCTCTCTCTCTCTGTGTGTCTGTGTGTGTGTGTGTGAGGGCTTACCGGGGCTCCTGTCTGGTTACTGAGCGGCAGCCGCTAATATCCTGACCTTCGTTTCCCTAAATAAGCCGAGGGAAACCGCCGCCATGTTGCTCCTTGTTTATTTAAATCTCTGAACACTCCCACACGGGGGGGGGGGGGGACAGACACCCACACACACACCCACACACACACCGACACACACACAGCGACACTGCGCATCTGCCGCTCACTCCGCTGCAGTCTGGGAATTGGAGTGTGTTGTGTTGAAGGGTTTTGAGTAAATCAAATGAGAGCGTCCACCCAGACCCCGGGGGGGAGGGGGGGAGGGGGGGGTTAATGCAGAGAGTGTGGGGGGTCATTTAATAACAATAATAATAATTCTGGCGTCTGACCCGGCGCCTGATCACGTCGTCGAGACGTCTCAAAGCGCTTCACGGGACACACTGGGAAGTGTAGTGACCTGTCTAATCTGTGGGCCAAACGCGGCAGACAATTGCGCCCAGCGACGTCCCCACAAACAGTCGTGGATCGAGGTGCCCCGATTATTATTATTATTATTTGTTTTTCGCAAAAGGGTCATTGCTCCCGGAAAAGCAATCCGCCAATCGACTAACAACCGGGTTCCCACTTTTCAGAGGCGTCTGAGTAAGGAAACTTTCCTCACGTTTCGCCCCTATTAGAGACAAGAAAAACATTTAAGGCAATGGATACAGAAAAGGCTGTTATTTAATATATAGAATGAGTGTAATCAACACAGAAAATGAAGGCATGTAATACCAGGAACTGTTCACGCCTTCATAAGCACAAAGCAATTAATATAAAGAATCGGGTACTGCCAATGGACATTTTACTGCTTGGAATAAAGGCAGTGATCTCAGGAGCACAGGGATGAAATTGCCTTCATCAACTTGTAAGAAGAACCCTACGTGCAATACATTTAGCTCATGTGCTGAGCATGTGAGACCAATATCAACTGGAAACCATAACAACAATAAATTACGTTTGCATTGCGCCTTTCACGTCTGGAGGACGTCCCAGTGCGTTGGTCAGTTTGCATCGATAAGGAGAAATACACACAATATCCAATTATGAAACCATTTAGAGGTGCTTTTTAGGGATTACTTTGTGCCTTACTTTGTATCTGGCTAGCTGCGTACCTGACTTGTGTCTCCAAGGCTGATAGTGTCAGCCTTGCTTCAAGGTCGTCAATGGCAGGCAGGTTTGACATCGGAGCCTCTGTATAGTTCATATCAAAGTTGATACGAATGACAAAATTGAAGCAATTTGATGGTTTTCGAACACGCCAATGCAAATTGAACAGATTTCAATCTAAATTAAAAATCCGACAATATCTGAAACACATCTCACTGTGTTGAAATCAGCTGTCACTGTGGCAAATAGAAATGGAGTTACTTAACTTGCAAGACATATCTGTGTTGGTGTTCTTACGGTGAAAGTGTCAGGTGGTTCACTTTTAGCACTTAAGAAAAAATCCCAAATCTCCCAATATAAGTTATAGGCAGATGTGAATGAAATACAGTACAGTCGGACCAAATTGCAGGGGAAAGATCAGACTATAAACGGGATCTGTAGAGACAGGGCTCACTATGGACTGGCAGTCATCCAATCTATTTATTACAGGCTGTAAATAGATGCTGCAGCGAAAGGCCTCGTTATACAGTGCCATTAATTCAGTTGGTTTGTTAAAAAGAGGCTGAGATCACTCTGTAAGGAAAGGCTCATTGCATTCTGTGTGTGTGTATGTGTGTGTGAGCCTCCTGCCCCCCTTTCGGGGGTTGTCCATTGGTTCTCTTTTTCTCGCAGTGGCTTAGACATATTAACGTCTATTTTTAGGTCCGACCTCCTTTCCACAGAAATGTTCCACCAGTGGTTCAGAAATGGAAACACTGAAAGATTGTCATGCTTTATTTCCATGGGGCCCCGGTCTGGTTTAGCACTGAGGGAAGTGGAGAGCCCTCAACACCGCAACATTATTTAATGTTTCTGATCTAATGTTAAATCTCATGATACGTTTTAGTGAATTGATCAAAACCGGAGTGTCAGTGAAGGTTAGCCCAAGGTCACACCCCAGAACTTGTCTCCTAGTGCTTTTCATGCCTTTCATGTCGCTGTAAGATATTGGACATTGATAACATTCCCCCAATCTGTTAGAATTAATAATGGCAGAAGTTTTATCTTTTTTTTCTTGATCGATTTAATCCTTTGTTGACTCTTTTAAGGAGCCCTCAAAAAAAACCTTCAGGTATAAGGCTGAGTCCGCGCTGCGCCTGGAATACTGCGCTCTGATTAACTCAGAGCGACGTCGGGTAATTTGCGCACTGAGACTGAGCAGCGACTCTGTGCGTCTGGAACAGGAAAACGGTGTAAATCCGCATGAGAGCTGCACAAAGTGTAGGTACAAAGTCTTCCCAATGTAACACTGAGGCTGAGAATGTGCGCACAGAGGACTTTGACTGAGAGCCGATCATTCGCGGCCTCCGCGGAAGCCAAACCGACTGTTAGTTATCGTGGTATTCGCACAGTCGCTTTCATCAGATGAAAGTTGTGACTTGGGTTTCCCCCCCAGGAAACATGGCTCTGATTAATGTTTAAATAAAGCTACATGAAGTATTTCGGGTCTTATTACTGTTCCCACCTCTCCAATGATTGTTAGCTGTCCAAGTATGTCAATTGTAGGAATCAGATTAAAACTAATTGCACTGATTGGACTACAAATGTGTTTATACATATGGATTCTTTTCTATTATCAAAGTGAGATTCATTCAAATAGGCCGTATTCTGAAACAAAACTTTCACTCAAAATAAGTGACATTTGGCAGATCTGTTGACAACTCCAGAAATGACAGAGATGCACAATTCCCAGTTAGTTATTATTTATAAAATGGTATATCTTTGACTGCTGATTAAACAAACCAAGGCTGTCAATGTTTGGGCAGTGGAAGATTTTCCACTTTTTTTCTGGATGAAGCTCAGTGTTTGAAACAAGAAACTGATTTTAAAAAACTCGAGGAGGTAGCAGTGTTGTTTGGAAAACTTATTTTTCTCTCTGGATGAAGTAACAGATGGAAACCACTGAAGAGTAATTGGTTACTAATTAATTCAACCTTCAGCAGGTCTTAAAGGAGTTAAATAAGAAATACTTGTTTCAGTACAAACTCCCTTAAAGGAAATTGACCTTTTCCTTTACCAGAAAGAGTACAATGCTTCTGTGTCTTTTGTATCCAACCTAATTGTCAGACTCCTGAGTCGTTTTAGGTGTGAACCCCATTTTGAGATTTCAGCTCCTTGTCAAGAACACTCCAATGCAGCGCCACAGGTGTTGTTTTCCAGAGATCTTAACCTAAGGTGTTCAGACAGCTGTTAAGATCCCATTGATACACAACCTCATAAAAATAATTCTTGCATTTCATATGTAGTATTACTTTTCATGTCAAGAGTCTCAAAGCACTTCACAGGATTTCTTATAAATTGTAGTGATTGTCTATTGTGTTGTTGAACACAGCAGTTTGTGCACAACATTGTCCCACAAACAACCATGAAGTGAACCATCATTTTTTTTCCTGGGGCGTCGTCTGTCAGGACGCCAGAAGAATTCTCTTTCCAAATGCTGTGGGATTTTTAAGGTCTACGTTATTAAGAGGTAGACTGAACCTCGGTTTATCAACTTGTATTTATATATAATCCCTCCAAAACCAAAAACTATAATAAATTGGTCATTTTCAATCTACGACTGTTTGTGGGACATTGCTGTGCGCAATTGGCTGCCGCGTTCGCCCACAAATATAGTCAATTCACTTTACAGTGTGTTCTGTGAAGCGCTTTGGGACGTCCTCCCGATGTGAACAGCGCTATATCAAATGCAAAGATTATTATTATTATTAGTGCCTTTCATGTGAGGGAGCATTTCAGAGCACTCAACCGTGGTCGAGTTTGATGCAATTGTTAAGTGACGTATAGACTGCCGTTTAACATCTCATCCAAAGAATGGCTCGCCCAATCATGCAGTGTATCCTCAGCATTGCACTGAAGTGTCAGACTAGATTACGTGAGTTCAAAGTCTAGACCAGAATTGAATCCACAACCTTCTGACTCAAGAGGCGAGAGCGCTACCAACTGAGCAGGAACATTAAAATCATCTGAGCAGATACATGGATCATCTATGAAACGATAGAGGTGCTGGAGGAGGTTTCCACATTCCTCCTGTTCATTTGTACAGCTAAGGTTCCTGAAACAATTTGCTAAACTGAAATACACTTGGATTACCCGATTCCAGCCACTGCCGGATGCTGTTTCTTGGACTACAGTAGAAATGAGGTGCATTTTAATTCAGACGTTTGCTATCTCGCCATCTAGCGGCAACATTCAGGTTATGTGGTTGAGAATGTGTACACAAAGTGTTTTTAAATTACACAATTTCAGGTCAGATCTCAACCTATTACAACAAGGTCTATTTCTTTTTTTAAAAAAATCAAAAAACATTTAAAATATTTGATAGATCAGGCAACAAATTTATTTCCAGATTACAGAAATAGTGGTTTTATAACATCAGATCAGAAATGTACATTCAACCTACAAAACCCTACTGCCAAACACATCTTTCACAGAAACCTTCACAGCTTAATGTTTGGGAGTAGCAACTGGAAACCACAAAAGAGCATATTAAAATGACAGATGTAAAATTATTGTTTTAAAAAAATCACTGGGAACCATCTTGTTTAGTGGCAGAAAAAAAAAGCTTCTCTGGACATGAATTCATCTGAATGCTAAGCAAACCAACAAAGGATCTGTTAGTTACATTGATCAACATAATGCGTTAAAAAGTGACATTTACTTGACTTGAGTTTAGCAGTTCAGATATTCAGCACTTCCCATTTTCACTGTATTCTGCAGAATGGGCATTGTTGCACAATGAAAATATTTTAGCTGCCGTTTCCCTTTTGTGCTCATTTTTTAAAAAAATGGTTTGAATCATTTTTTAAATATTTTCCATAAGAAATTGAGCTGGGAAATGTTGCAGCTTTTTGACCCATCAAAGGTTCTCTGCATTCCTCACATGTGGAATCAATATTCTGCAGTCCTGTCAGTCACACAAGATCACAGTGCCATACTGAATAGGGTGGGAAGAAATCAATTGTTCTGTCCGTGGCAAAACTGGAACAAATGTTTCAGCGAACGCAAATACAACCATTCTATGACCATGTTCCATTTATGAGCAAATGAGCAGGAAGGTGGTTAGGATGGGCCACGAGTCATAACGGGAGTTGTTTCTTTTCCCAAACACAAGAGTTTGAGGCATTTTGGAATTGAGTGATATTACTGTCCTGTTCTGCTACTTGCCTCCGAGGGAGTGGGGGGAGAGAATGCTTCGGCTGTTGGTAACAATACAAAAACATAACTTTCTATTTGCACAGAAAAATGAAAAAAAACAGGGCGGTTTATTTCAGTGATTCAATTATAGAGGTGAGTTTGCAAAATGATGCGGTAAAGGCTGACAAGTATGCACACAAAAGTTGATTCACTACAGATGCCTCTGTATGTAGTGATTCAGGACAGATGGATGGATCCATGTGTGATATGATACACACATCTGTAAAACATGGATGTGTATGTATGAGCATTTACCATCAATTTTGTACATATAAGCAGATTTCATAAAGAAAATGGTTGTAGACATTAGTAATTAAGTAGACAGTTGGACCCACAAGTCCACACTTGACAATTCACCACACAGCCAAATAAGTGTAATGTCACCAGTGATTGAGTACTGTTGTTGCTTCAGCAGCACATATACTAACAGTGGTTTGGTAGATAGTTGGGCCAGCCTGTGTACTTGATCGTTTGCTACAAATGGTTTGGTACAAGCAGAAAATGATTGATGTTTATTAGAGCATTTGTATATAGATATGCCTCCAAACATTACATCCTGGACATTATTCATTTATTTTCCAAAAGAATAAGATAGAATATTTAACAAATTAATGAGGCATTTCATAGTTCCAGAAAGTTTACCCACAAAGTGGGATTTTTGGGAAATTTAAATTTGGAGACTGAACGGAGACTTTGGAGACTGGAGACTGTATATACAGAATATCCCTAAACAGTCAGTATAAAGGGAATTCCTCTTTCAAATAGAAATCACTCTGTGTGTGTATATATATATTTAAAAAATTAAAAAGTTTGAAGAGCCTGTAAGTATGGGCTTGAGCTAAAGAGAATACATGTGTATAAAGAGTATCAGCCTTAGAACATTTACTTGTACTTTATAAAGATATCTATACTGGGCAAAGTAGTTTTTCCACTCATGAAACATATTGAGGTCAATGTTTGAAATACTGTAACTCAGTCATGTAAATAGTTTTGGCGGCACACCCCATTTAGCTGGCTCCAGAACCCACATCATAAACAGCAAAATACATTTTTCTTTGATTAAGATGTTTTTTTCAAAAAACATAAAACACAGAAAAGATTTGCTTTTGCTCAAGACAAAGGAACAGACAGTGAAACAGACTCAACACAGTTGTTAAACTTTGATGCCTTTATGTTAAGACTACAGAAGTTGATGACATTTCTGTCAATGTTAAGGCACAGCCCCCATCATGCATCTATGGGCAAAGCGCTATGCTGACTCAGGCTTGAAGCAATTAAAAGAACATCTTAAACACCCAAAGAAAAACTGACCGATTTGCTCATTTAACGCATACTTTTTTTTAAAAATGACCCCCTCGCTGTTTTGCTGAGTTACTGACATTATTGTAATTAGTATCACACAGTGGTTTTGACTGATTTTTTTTAAAAAATAACTTTCACATCAAGGACACTTGAATAAGAAATTTGGTCGAGCGGAGGTCAAGCATATGCACACGGCTTCTCTCCAGAAGTCACCTGAAACAAAAACTAAACCTCAAATAAAATTCACGGTACAAATGGCAACATTTACTGATCCTTAAAAAATATACAGTATATCAAATAAATATAAACCTCACCCTGGAGTATGAATAAATTGTAGGCACTCTGCAACTAGAAATCAATTACGTATGAAACCAACTTGAGAAATAATTTGTAGCTAAATAATTACCAGTGGAATAAACACTATTTAATAATATCCCATTTTATCAGCAGGGATGTAATGATTCTGTGAACACATCTTTAGTAGTAATGTTTAAACTACTATGTTATGAATAACCAGGGTGAGTGAGGTTGAATTTTGCTTTCTGCAGGTGTCATGAGAAGTTCAATACAAAGAAATACACCAAAACTTTATTCTTGAACTTCATTCATGGTTTAAGGTTTGGGGTGTTTATATCTCCCAGAAATCCAAACTGCACAACAGGTTGGGGGAGAGGAGAGAAAAAGGAAAAACTGCAAGGGTAATCAATAATGCTACGAAAGGCCCAATCTGCAGGTAATAAGACATTCTTCATCGTATTAATTCTCAACAGATTGTTTGTTTTGACGTATAAACTCCCAAGATTCAAGTCTGTCGCACTAACAACGTGGACTGTAACAGCCTTTGGTGAAGGCATCTGATTGGCTGATTTGTACCTCATCCCAATTACCCAACCACTTGCCCTTCACTCTGATGTCCTCGGAGCTCGATCCCAAACTGAAAGAGCAAGGAAACTGCAGGTAACTCACGAGAGCTGGCCATTTAGCAATGGGGTTTTAACTAAATAGACTGGCCAATAACTAAAACTTTTTTGAGGATTTTTCACCTAAATGGTTTACTTGGGACAGAAGACTGCATAGAAGTCACATCTTGCACCACATTATTGATGTTGAAAAAAGCACAGCCTCGTGAACAGTTGAGCCAGCAATTTCTTTGCTCACCTCCAATCAAAAATAAAGTGGTTTAGGAGTGAGGCAGGAGACAACAGATTTGTGAATATCACAGTCCTTCAAAACATTTCCCAAACTGAAAATCCAGCTTCACAAAGCTTTTGCTTTTCTTGCACGTGGTGATGTTCCACCTTCCGACTTCACTGTTCCATTAGCCGCATTCGCTGCAAGATTATAAAACAACGTAAATAAGAAACAAAGCATTTCAGTGTACAGGATCACAAATTATGATGTAGCATATCCACACCACAAAATGTATAGGAGTATCTTGTACAAGCAAGAAGAATTACAAATTGAGAGAAACATTAAAGAAACATTTAAAAATATTTTCTTTCAAAACTATCTTACTCTAGAAAGTCAACTAAGTCATTATGTGTGATTTTTTGGCTGTTTATATAAAGAGCAAAAAGACATTTTGTGACTGGATTTGTTTTTACACATGGTTGACTTTTAAAATTATAAATCTCAATGTCTTCCAGACTTGAGGTGCATTCCAAACATTTTATTGAACTAAGAGTGCAATAGATCACATTTTTCAAATACCTTTAACATGTTTATACTGCTGACAATCTGTAAAAGGGACAACTAGATAACAATGAAGGTAAAGCCATTCTTTGAAAATATTTGGCTGCTTTGGAATCCAGAGATTTTTTAAAAAAATAAGTTTGTTCATACATTTTTCCTAAAGTTCCCAGTATATACTACATTGAGCATAGTATGTGTCACCATTCCAACAACCAGAATACAGATTCTCCTAATACATAAAATGTAAAACATGCCATTTTCAGCAAGTTCATTCGCATTGAATTAAGAATTTGACAAACCACAGATTACAGTGCTTGAGTCAAGAATCGGCGCTGAACATGCATGATCCCTCCCCCCAGGAAAAATAGAAGTAGTGTTCTTGCCAAAATAAGTGGAGAATTATTTTTACTATACATTGGTTAGGAACTAACCACAGATTAAATCACGAATGTTAATTTAAGCACATTGCTGCTTTAACTATTTAAAAATTAGAAATTTAAATTTAACAAAGTAGTGTATTCCTTCTGAGCTAGGTGCTTAAATTATAAAATGGGGGACAGAGGAAAAGAAAGGAAGTAATAAGACTTTGTTTTTTCACTAACCCTTGCTAGTTTCCTTTTTTGAAGGTTTGCTCTTAGTATTGGTTAATTTCTTTTTGGGGATCTGATTCTGAGTGTGTTCTCTCCATTTTTTCAGCTGGAAGTTAATGAACTTCCACATCATCCAGGCTTGTGTTAGGCAGATGGCTGCTAAGCAGCTAATCCTGTCCAAATGCAAGGATAAGCACAAGTCAGTGAAGTACGCAGTTATTAAAACTGAAAACAAAGACACATATAATTCAAGTAACCAATGTTATTATATTGCTTGGTCACACATTTACTTTAATATTTTTGTACTTTACTCAGCATTCAGTCCCCTTTGGATTATATTTTCAGTACAATACAGGAAACAAATACAACAGACATATCAATTTAAGTTTAAAAACCTTGAGGAGGGAGTGACAGCTGACCCAGCCATAGATTTCAGATTAATTAATTTAAAAAAAAATCATTTAAGAACCAAAATAAAATATCACTAAAACAGAGTACAGCTCACAGGAATAGTGGACAAGTTACCAGATACTCTATTGTGGGGCAATGTTGGGTAGTGGGCATGCACTTGCCGGGAGGAAGGGAAGAAAAACAGTGAGAGTTGTCTGGCCTGATCCCATAGACCTCAAGAGAAGCTTGTTGCAACATGATTTTTATTGAAATACACTATTGGCCTAGATGGTTGTACATTACACAAAGTTATTAACAGAAAGTGAAAGCATAAGGTACGTTGAAAAAACATTACTCTCAAAAATTAAATATCAGTAAGTCAACAACACATGAAAACAATTGTTTTCTAGAAGTTGGTAGACATGTGTTCTCAATGACCTACCTGACAGTCAATGTGTTGAAATTTCCAGATGCTACAGAGAAGCCTTGATTCTCCGCTCTTGCAAGGCCAAAACCAAAGGTCAAGACAGATAGAGTCAATGTGAGAAGTCGAGCCATTACAAAAAGCAGAGCCCAGAGTGTAAAGCTGAAGAGAACAAAAAGATTTTTTTAAAAAAAGTATTTCATTCTTAAAACACAACTAGATTAGATATTTTAGTTACAATGATCATCATCTACTACAGGAACTAAACAGCACATAGGACATATCACATTTTTACATTTTAAAATTTATACATACACTATTTAGTGCTGTTGCTATTTAGGTTATTAGCACTGCCTGAAGAGATAACTAAGTGCTACCAAAAATAAGCATTTCCAAGTAACCATTTTATATTTGACGCATATTCCAAAAATAGCTTGTATTATTTAACAATTATCTGACAATTGTTATCTTACATGAATCAACAAACAAAATGGCACAATAAACTGCTCGATTAACAATATTTAACTTAAACTGATGAAGTGTGTCCATGAACCAGTGTTTACCCTTTTTGTTTGTTTTCGTCGCTGAAGTAGAACAAACGTGATGCATGAAACAAGAGCTCAACCAAGTAATGTGGCACCAAAAGAATCAGCCCCAGTCGGTGTAAGCTGTAAAGAGAAATGGAATCTTATGCTTTCTTATCTTAAATGTAGCCCAAGAATTCTATCTAATATTCAAATAATAATTGGTCTGTCGATTCTACAGCCAGTGTGTTCCAAGATCAATATTAATGAGTGTCTACTTAACATTTTTAAAAAAGAAAAATCATACAAGAAACATTTATTTGGCCACCCATTTCCATTACACTTCATCATAACCAGTAGGTGCACACAGTTAAAGAGTAATATTTTAAAGTGTGATTAGCACCCCAGATTTTTTTTAAAAAAACTTCAATCACATTGAAATTTTAACCTTACTTTAAGATATAGGCCCCGGTGATATGGAATATGTAAAGGCAAATGTAGTACAGCTGCCGTGGGATATCCTCCTGTAAGATTTAACAAGTTGAACATTTTTTAGATACAACAGTTTAAGAATTCAAGCACCAAAGTCTCATTCACAGTCAGTGCTGGTTTAAATGAATCACCTGTACCAAGGGACGTGTAAATTTGTTGAGTGACTAATATCAGTTGAGTGATTAATATGGGTACAGAGCAAGTTCACAATCTCAAGGCTGTCACCACAAAATGGTGCTCAGAGAAAGCCAGAACATATCAGGACTTTCCTACACATCTCCGAGGAGAAAGGAACAAAGTGTTCAGCTGCCTATCGGACCTCTTAGGTGGACCTCGAGAAAGGAAGAGAAAATCAAAAGCCTAAAAAAAGCATCATGTGATACATATCCTGTGGCTGAATCTCAGAAATTCAACATGTATAGTAAATAAAGCATAGCTCCAGCAATCCCATAACGAACTCATTTTCCTATGGACATGCTTGTAGTTAATTTGCAAGGCAAACATATCATTATGGGGGAATTTAAGGTACAGCAGTGCTGAAACAGTGAAGAAGTTGGGAAAAAAAATTTAAATATACTTTTTGGTTCACAATTATAGTAAATTCCTGATAACTCAACCCTGGCTTAACTGTCAGTACTACATAAGTTAAGCTGTTGATATCCTGACAACATCAGGAGTTCACTGTATTCTGCAGTGTGAAGGAGGGTTACATTTATTATCCTTTCATATAATAATAATCCTTGCATTTGATATAGCGCTTTTCACGTCGGGAGGACGTCCCAAAGCGCTTCACAGAACACACTGTAAAATGAATTGACTGTATATTTGTGGGCGAACGCGGCAGCCAATTGCGCACAGCGATGTCCCACAAACAGTCGTAGATTGAAAATGACCAATTTATTATTGTTTTTGGTTTTGGAGGATTATTAGGCTCTGTGTGGGGTAAGGAAACTTGCCCAAGGTTTCGCCCTCTGCCTGGAATTGAACTCAGGTCTCTCGCTTGCAAAGCGAGTGCTCTAACCACTGAGCTACAGGACTCCACATGAATCATTTGTGTACACAGAAGAAAACGTTGGGAGTATTACTTTCTACTAGAATTTGAATTATAGGTTGAGTACTGTGGAAAACATTTAATTTTCGATTTTGGTCACTCAATTCATTGCATTCACAGTTGTGCTGTTTCTCATATGCATCATTCATATGCAAACTTGGTGCTTCTCTTATATATCACTAAGCAACCACAAGAGGTGCAAATCTTTTGATTTTTTTAACTGCTAATATGTACATAATTCAAATGCAAACAATCACCTTTCGAACTTTCTGAAAGTACAGCTCTGGTAAAGCATGAAGCCAATAGGCGATCTGGCAAACATAGAAAAATTTCACCTGAAAACTGAACCACATAACATATTAATTAAATTGGAACACAGCAATCTAACAATTATAACTTGTACGCAAAGTCATAACTAATTCAAAGATCCTAATCACTCACTCATACACACACGCACACACAGAGGTAGCTGTACTGCTCCAGGACTCCAAATAGAAAACAATTCACAGATAGCATGAATTCAGAGATTTTAAGTGTTTGGAAAGATCAAACCAGGGACAAGGTTAGTAACAATGCTTTCATGACCCAATATCTAAATCCCTCCAGCTGGGCAGGGAGGAGGATCTGAACAGTAACGAGAGGCAACTCCTGCTGACTTTACATTACCTACTGCACCCCAAGTGAACATCAGATAACATGCAAAATGGGGAGTCCACCTGGGGGCTTCCTAGTCTACATAACAACTGGTTAAACTTGCTGAGCCATCAATCAAGCCTAAAGAGTCAACAACTTGACCAGAGGGTATACTGGCAGTCTCATTTTGAGATTTGCATGTTAAGTTGAAACTGATGGCAGTTTCTAGTTCCTATTCCTTCTGAAGTATTTTAATAGTACTTTTTAAAAATCTGACGATTTCCTTTTTGTTTTTTAAAAAAGTGCTCTTTTTCTCTCCCACTCTTTCGAAATTGTTTTTCTGCTCTCCGAAAATAACTTTCTAATGTACAGTTCTACAATTTAAGTCACCCTGCTTGTTTACACTGCACTAAGGGCCCCAGCCTCTCACCTGTTTTTCCAGAAAAATATTTTTCTATCAAAACATCAGAAAATAAAATGTTTTTTTAAAAAAAGGCCGGCAGTATTAAATTGCTAAAGGAGTATTCTCTGGAACTCCACCCCTGAGTCCCTCCTCTTCAAAGCCTATGTCAAGCCCTTTCTTTTCATTTGCACCTTTCACTCCGACCTTCTTAAGCTTCCCCACCCTCAGCTCATATCCCAGTAAGCTCTGGAAGCACTTTGAGACACCCTCCCAACAATATAAATATCTAATTGTTGTTGTATTAAAGAAAACAGTGCTTACAACATGTGTGAATGGGGGTATCCTTCCCATAGGAGTGTAGGATCAGTTGTGAATTCTTCCTAGTTGTAGAAAGAGAAAACGGTGTCGATAAAATGTAATTAATAATAATTTAGTATAAATTGTAGCCTGATATCTGAACATATTCTTACTCCAGTCAGGATGCTTCCACCCCAGATAAAGGAAAACAGGTAGAAAAATGCCAGTTGGCCGGATTCGTTGAATTTACTGTGCTTTGTTTTGGACAAATGCAGTCGTCTGTTGATTTTCTGAAAGAGACAAAAATGTGTAAGAAATTTTACCCCATCAATATGATAAGAAACGGATCACACTAATGCTTCCCCTCAAAACCTCCCCCAGAACAAACACATACTCAAAATAAGATTCTGATCACAATTCAGCCATGATCAAGTGGAACCAGCAGCAAACACACAGAAAGAAGGGTAAAGTACCCATTCTATATTGATTCTATATGAATTAACAGAAAATTGTGTAACACCTAAGATTTTTTTTCTTTGTATGTAACGAACATACTAAGATGTCGACATTGGTTATCGGTGAGTTTTCTTGACGTGTTCCCAATTAATTCTAAAAAGAGAGAATCAGAGTTTCTACTCACATCTAGAATGTACTCTTGGATCACAGCATGCAGAATGATAGCTATTAACATGTAGAAAAATATGGTAGCCAAATCTTTAAGCCCATACTCATAGAAGCTGATGGAATCAGAACTGCTCCTCTCCTCTGTAACGACAATATAGATATAAAGAGGATGGTTAAATACATACTGCATAATAGGGGTCTTTAATAGGGGTCTTTAAAATACATTTTGCCTTTGCCAGCGCACAATATATTAATGCTGGTGTTTAACTGGAATCAACTTCAGCTCATATAAACTGCTGTCTGGCCCACAATTTCTGTAGACGAGTTTCTACTAAATCAGAAACACTGTGTAAGATGACTCAGTCCCAAAGGGGTCATTTTAAAAAAAAGATTTATGTAGATTTTATGATGCGATAATATTTCAAAAAAGTCTGGACATACAACAGATTCCATCCTCTTACCTGTAGAAGGATATGTAACATTGTACTGCACAGTGATGAACATGATGGCAAACTTAGCTGTGACCTGTAAAGTAAATAAGGCAAAGAAAAACAATCTCAATCCAACAAAGTTTATTATTTTATCTGCATTGAAAAAAAATTCAAAAAAAATTGGAACAAACTACTTCAAGTACTATAAAATGTCAATCAATTTCTTTTCAGATGGCAAAGTTATTGCAGGTAAAAGAAAACTAATCCCCATAAATTTCTGCAGGAATAATTCTGTTTTAGTTTCTAGGCAATGTTTTGAATAGTTAAGATTTCTCCCCCCACCCCCCCCCCTCCACTAATCCAGCATTGCATCAGCTCTATACATGACTGCAAGAGTGAGCTCATCTGCAAGTAGAGTTGTAAATAATGAGAGAAAACACAAAGTATTCTGCAGCTTCAAGTGAAATAAATCTGTACGGTATGGAAACTAAACAATTATTATATTCAATTATTATAATTGAAGATTATTACTGAAGAGGATAAGTGGGGAAACCAGGAAAAGGATATCACCAAGTTTAAAATTGACTAAGAGGCAGACCCTGCTTCTAAATATATTCAGGATATCGAGCAACTACCATCACCAACCACTTGGAAGCAAGTTTTGGACGCTCTGCATCATTTGCCATCATAACTGGACAAGTCCCTGTAATCTAAAGCACCCAAGGGCCGATTGTGAAAAAATCATGCGTAGATTAAAATGCAGAATGTACCTCAAAATATAACTGAATAAATGATCATCAAGCAAAACCATCAAGAAGCAGATCACAACAGTGTGAGTTTTGTATTGTACAGAGAAAGATAGACTAAATCCAACATAACTAGTTTTCGAAGAGGCTTCCCCAATGGACTGCCTGGAAAGGAGAGTTGATTTATATATCAAACTTCCAATAGGAGAGGTAAGAGGAACACACAAGGGTCACCATTACTGATTTAATATATAATGTGTGAGAGACCGTGACTATCCATCACTGTCACTAAAGAAAACATCCAGCACACAACAGTGCATGAAAGATTAATTGTAAAACAGGTGAAACAAGCCTCAGCCAGGAAAGGGTAGAGCAATACAAGGATTTTTTTCACATCACCCATCACTAACCAAAGGACAGTGATCTATATCCAGGCCTCCACCAATGCTGCTCTGAACCTGACTCTGAAGGGTACGAGAGTAACCGGAGATAACCTATTTCCCAGTTTTCTCTTCTTCTGTGTAGGGAAACACCTGTCCCCTCTCAGCATTTCTTCAAAGTTGGTATCTACCATCACTTTATAGGTCTGTTTCTTCAGGACTTTATAAGTCTGGGTAAATCTTCTACCATTTCAAGTTACCTCACCAGCCCCTGAACATTCTCCATTATGAACATATCCAAAGAATCTATTTCACATTTTCGAGGGAATTATTTAAAACAAAATCCAGCAAGTAGCAAATTGAATAGTTTGTCTCCAAGAAAACTTGTGCTCTACCTGCCTTCCTCAAAGCAATGATTCTATTTCCTGTCAAACTGAAACAGAAAACCTATTTTTACTGAAGCTCAACTGAAGTGTTTGTTTTGTACTGAAATGCACGCAAGGAGGATTATAGCAGATTAAGTGCCAGTATAAAATGTTGCAAACATCTTCATTCTGTTTTTGCTGTCAGTGAGTGCTCTTTGCAAAAGCTGTTGCTTCAGATTTTAACAATATTCAGATTTTAGTTCAAGTGTGTCTGATTACATGTTAAAATGACTGAAGCAATTTACTTCATTGTTAAATGCATTGGATATTTAAGAAAATTAATTTCAAACATTTGCCCACCTAATGAAAGTCTTATTTCCTCCCACTACTGAAAAACATTTGTTATCCTCCTCATCCAACTAATATTATGCTAATGTGTGACTGTGTACATTTTGTTTGCAAATCTTATCCTGCTCCCAATCTCGAATTCCTTCCTTCTACCCCTCCATCTCCCCCCCACCTCTATCCATATTTAAATCCCACCTGAAAAACTACCTATTCAACTTAGTCACATCCCTCCTTGCTCAATATCCAACTTATTTTTGAAGCCTTCTGAGATACTATTCTACGTGAATGGCACAATATAAATGCAAGTTATTGTTGTCTACGTCTTCACTCCTGTTGATAGTATAACTCTTATTGACATTCAGATTCACAGACATCAAGCACCCTCTGCTACTTTCATGAACACTAATATATCTGCACAAGAACTAGACAGAAGTCACGCCTAACTCTGCTGTTCCAAAGGACCGGCTTTTAAATGGTTTGGATACATTCTGAAATATGAGAATGACGGCTGCTTGATCTTGCAATTAGTATTTTGTTACACAGACTCCACTTTCCAGTTATAAAAAGGCATTGAAATTTGTTGTAGAAATCTACCAGAATTAGCTTCTTCTGAACTGTATTATGCTGCACCACAGTAATTTCTGAGCTGCACAATGAAATAGAAAAACAGATGTCGAGGAGTGAGTCACTGGGTTATAATCAAATAGGACTTCACCCCCAAGTGTAAGGCTCCAGTGATTTCCAAACACCTGCATTTTTCTTCCAGAATGTTTTTAAGTGTATATTTATAAATATATTTTGAAGATTGTTCTGTGATTGTCAAATACAGGCACACAGACTTATACATACATACAAACTTACCAACATCACTTTGTTCTTTATTGTACCAAAATAGCAGGTAATTTATTTAAAAATGCAATAGTATACATTCAAAATCCTGAGCAGCAAGTTCAAGATTCCGAGTGAATTTCAGGATTCAGCAGCTGACCATTTGTAATAATAATAATCCTGAATGAAATTCACATTTGATATTGCATTTTATCACATCGATACACCAGTCACTACACTTTACAGAAATAATTTTTTAAGTGACTGTATTTATAGACACATTTATGCCAGTTTCTTCTATTGTGTTGTGGTTTTTCAGTGTTGTAACCTTACATACATGGTAAAGGCAATGCAGAATCTTACTTTAACATGCGTTCAAGCGGTTCTGGTAGCCATGTGATACAAAGCCATACATACTGCCTGCATTGCTCTTCCCTCATGTCAATGTTGGGACTCACTCGCAAACAACCTTCAGATTAATTTACTAAATTAAAAGGCAGGCAATCCTCCAGTGTTGTTCCAGAAAAAAATGAAGCATCCAGAGTTAGCAGTAATTTTAAGATTAGTAATATTTGCAAAGCGTCACAGGGCCACCCCTTTTAAATAGTTCATCAAGACAGATTTAGGCCTGATTTTGTTTATAAAGTATATGGTGGGGGGAGTTTTTCCTCAATATCTGAACAGCTACCAGTATACGATCCCTGGGCAGTTCAGTCAGTGGATTACAATACTATGCTTTCACTTTATCTAGTCAAAATTGATGGAATTAACAATGTTCTGTCTGCAAGATTTGAAATGGAAAAGGAGTTTGAATTGCTCCTGGGCACAGTTCCACTGCACAAATGATCTGTCTCAATCATAGACTCAAAGAATGACTGGTATGAGAAACAGGGAAAGTTCAGACTGGTGCAGTAGGATGTGCTCTTAAATTAGGATGAAAGCAAACGATCTACATATGGGTGAACCTCAATTCTGAATGCTGTAATTAGGTGCGTTTGATTCTGGCAAAGTGGAATAAAAATGGAAAATGATTTTATTCCCAAGCAATAACATCCTTCTAAAAAAAAGTTAAAGCAGGAACTTTGCTCAACTGTTTTGAAAAGGGAAAAGTTTAAAACAATTTAAAATGGTTTTGTTGTCTTTTTAAACCATAAAATGGGTTATTTGTCACAAAGCTCTTGTAGACTTTTACATACATAAAGATCTGGCTGATGAAGACTCAACTCTAATTTACTTCAACATACAATTTTAAAAAATGATTTAAAGTTTATCTACACAGCTTTGTTCTGAAAATAATGAGAATACTGTGTATAAATCGGAGATATTCTGCAGACAATGGACATCACAAAATACAAGTCAATCTACTTTACAGTATATCATGTGAAGCGCTTTGAGACGTCTCAACGACTTGATAAGGCACATCACTGAAGCAAGTCTGTGTTAACTTAGATAGCACTCAGCATGCCACTTGACAACAGACTGCAACTAAAACTGACGTAATATACACATACACACACAGTGATAGGAATTAAAAGTATGAACCATGGCCAATTGACACCTCTCGAGGGAAACTGCATGCAACCTCACTGCTGACCCAACTGGGAATGGCTACTACACAGATAAAAAATTAAACCTGCATCATCTTAGTTTATATGACGCTTTGCCACACCAAGCAGCACATTATCTCACTAATCTCCTAGTAAATCTAAAATGATGTTGACTTAAATGTCAGTAATCCATCCCAGATAACTTTACCTCCATCCAAACTAACACAATAATGAAACCATTGCATCTGCCACTATCCCAAACAGTGACTGGCGAATCATATTGCATTAGAAATAAGCAGCTGCAAGCTGTTTTGCCCGCCCAAACCATCAATTCTAGAGGATATAGTTTTCTTAATTTTTTGAAACTGAAAGCTGGCGTCAATGACTGCAGAGACATTGAAAACTCACTCAAGTCTAACAAACTCACTCAAGTCACAAATGTTAAAAGCACGTTTTCAAACAAATTAGATCCTTTCACTTCCAACTCAAAAAGATACAAATTGGTCATCGCATTCAGAAGCCATAAAGATATTGGTTTTGGAAATAGAAAATAAATCTAGTTACAATAGGAAATATGCCTGAGGTTGGGAGAAGGCACATTTTGCAGTAGGTTTTTTGCACTGCTAATACACGCCTTACTTGGGACTGTTTGATAATTAATGATCAGCACCCAACGTGGAGAAATTTTCTATTTCCCAACAACCAAACCCACATTCTGAAGAATACCAAAAATAATTTGGAGATAAACCAGCACAGAAAGACCAAATAAAGGTAGATAACGCTGCAGTAAAAGTACTGCAGTTCATATTAAAGACCAGATGAGCACAATAAACTGCTGTGTTTCTAAAATATAATGTACTTATCGTGGCTATTTCAACAGTGAATTATATTGTGTGCTCTGTAATATGCTAGTTTTAGTAAGAATACCAAAGACAATTTACACTAGAACATTTTCTAATCCTATTACCATAGTTACATGTGAATCTCAAGGGAGAAAAAAANGCTTAATTTTGAACAATAAAGGTTACAATAAAAGTTGATAACTTGGTGTAACCCACTTTATTTTTAAAAGTCGCCTGAAATCGCAGCATTCTAAATCTCCCTTTGCAACCAACAGTTATACAAATCCATTGATGGAAACTGCTGTGTGAACTGCAAAATTACAGAAAAAGTTCAGACGAGGGGATTCCTCTACTTAAACTGAACTAGAAAATGACTCATGGTTGGTAAGACGTTTAATATGATTTGTGATTTCAAATGTAATGCACTCAAATCCAACTAAATGTCTAAAAACATCCAGCTATAATAGCAAAGCCTTCACAAACTAGTCAGCCTTTTCAAAATGTTTGTTGTTTGGATGAGGCATTACACCAAGATCCTGTCGACCTGTTTAGATGGACATTAAAGATCCTGTAGCTTTCTCTATTCAAAAAGAGAAGTTTCTCCCAGTGTCTTAGTCAACTATGCCCCAGATACATAAAAATGTCAGTCTTTTCATGGTTGTTTGTGGAGTACTGCTGTTTGCAAATTAGGTTCCATGCTAACCTACAAATAATCACTACACTTAACAGGAAAAACTAAAGTACTTTGATTTGATATGGCGACAATATCAATGCAAGCATTATTATACACAATTAAATTGCACAGACATAGGTTCATCTCTCCAGTTACTACTGTACATCACAATGGTTTCTCAATGCTTGAATTTTTTTTGTGATGTAAATAAATATGGTTTGTTTTTGATTGGATCGAATCTGTTTCAAAGTTGTAAATGACATGCAACCATATCAACAATTATACACAGAATGAAACAGAGCACAATAAATCAGCAAGTACATTCAGAACCATGGAGGTTAAAGTCAAATCGCAAAGCAAATACGGAATTGATAAGAAATGATCAACATTGCATTAAGCACAAAAAGAATAAACTGTGAGAAGGAGAAGCAGATAAGAGACAGACAGGGAGAAAGTTAAGCTCTGGCAGCAAAGCAAGCTAGAAAGGGGGTTTGTTTACTTTTATATTTTATTCTCTATTTTGATACTTTTTGTATTTTGTAAAATCAGTTAGTGTATGAACACATTAGTGATCTCATGCTGCATCACAGTACAAAAAGGAATCCCATGAAAACAAATTGAGACTATATCACTTTATGTGAACAGAATGCTTAAAAAGAGCATTATGGTAAACACAAAAGTTGAAATACGTGTTTTTCTCAAACTTCTACCCATAGCTAACTTGTGAATTAAGTAATCTTACTTACTCAGGTAACACTTCACATAGGGGCAGACTATTTAACTTTTTTAAAAACATACAGAGCGAGGCAAGACCGAGCACGCTGCCTCCTGAAACACACAACCGAGTGACAAATCAGAAGTCCAGTGACAATTTATCATATTCTGATCTAATTGGGGCCCTGAATTTTGGCTACAATAAAATCTTCCCCCTCCAAAAGATCAGCTGCTGATTTGATAGGAATAGAAGCTGAATGTGGACAGAGCCAACGTGGACAATGTGATTTAGACCACCTTCTGAATCACCTGGTTACCATGTAACCCATATCTTATCTACTCCGAAGAATAAATCTACTCAAGTCCACATTTTAGTCTCGTGGAGCCAACATTTATTGCTGGATGCCTGGTTAACATGTTTAGAGTAATTCCAACCAGAACACTAACCTCTGAATTTCAATTAAATATCCAGCGCTGCGTAACAAAATCCAAGCCTTAAGGTGGTCTTAAAAGTAAAGCGGACCTTCCAAGAGACCCCACAATTAGCTTAATTAAAAAAACAATTAAAATACCTGTTTTTTTTTAAAAAAAACAGCCGAGAAACACTGAACTCTCCACACAATACATTAAAACCGAAAAAAAAAAGAACTGCCTGGACCGCGTTTCACTTTAAAATATAAAAAAAAAGGGTGAACACCTCACAACGTCGAACTTCTCTCTCTGGACCTTTTATTTTACTTTAAAAAAAAACAGCCCCAACATTTAGTTTAATGGAACAGCGCTCCAATTCCGAAGAGAGTGGAGGGGGGAGAGAGGGAGAGACAGAGGGGGGGAGACAGAGGGGGGGAGACAGGGGGAGACAGAGGGGGGAGAAGAGGGGGAGACAGAGGGGGGGGGAGACAGAGGGGGGGAGAAGGGGGAGACAGAGGGGGGGGGAGACAGAGGGGGTGAGAGGGGGGAGACAGAGGGGGGGGAGGGAGGGAGACAGAGGGGGAGAAGGGGGAGACAGAGGGGGGAGACAGAGGGGGAGAGACAGAGGGGGAGACAGGGGGGGAGACAGGGGGGGAGACAGGGGGGGGGGAGAGCTTGCAGCCAGTCAGCAGCTTACAGTTTAGGTACAAAACCTAACGGAAAATGCCAGAGAAAAACACGGGGGAGGGGGAGGGGAGGAAATAACTCCTCCGTAAAACCATTCAAACCACTTCCCCGATAGCGACGACGACACCCCGAGGCTTCCCCATGGCCGAGCGCTCTCTCTCCCCCCCTCTCCCCCCCCCCTCAGGCCCATGTGGCGTCTCGCCCCTCCCGTGTGTGTGTGTTTTTTACCTCAAACATCAGCCCCAGTAGGATCACCATCGCCACACACGACACGATATCCGCATGGTTCTGGATCACGAACTCATGACTTAAAACAGCGGGATTTTTGTTTTTCTTCCTCAGGCCCATGGCGGGGGGGGGGGGGCGGAGGCTGTGTGTGTGTGAGGGGTGAAATTTAACTTTAGTTTTTTTTGTGTGAGGAGGGCGGGGGGTCGGGTCGGGGGGGAGAGAAGGAAAGGCGATACGAAACACCTGAAACTGAAACAACCCCCGAAATGAAAAAAATAATAATAAAAGCCTCGCCTTTCCCTAACCCGCCGCCTCGTAAAATAATATAATAGAAAATAACCGCTCTTCGCTCCCTGACGATGATGAAGCCGCCACGACTTCCCCTACAACGACCACGACCGACCCTCTGACGCCCACCTGACTGACTGACTGGCGACTTCCCGCCCGCACGCACGCAACGCACGCGCTCTCGCGCTCTCCCTCTCCCACACTGATTGGAGGTCCTGCTTGATTGGCAGTCGCTTCAACCACTCCGAGCGCTTCTCCCTCTGCTCGCTCGCTCGCTCCGGCCTTGGTCCCGCCCAGCGCCGAGGGGCGTGGGGAGAAGGAGCCACACCCCCCACACAGGCGCATACCTTGATGATTGACAGGTCTTCTGACCACTCACATGGTGACACTACGGGGGGGGTGGGGCCTGCGCTGGAAGCCGTGACGCGCCAGGGCCAATCGGAAGCCAGGTCTGCGCGGGCGGGGCCACGCGAAAGCAGGGGAGAGCGCGCGGCGGGCTGTGCTGCGCATGCGTGGTCAGCGCGCGGGCGCGACGTGCTGTCACGTCCCGTCGACGTCAACTGTCAAGCCGTCAGACGAGAGGAGCCGCTCAGTCAGTCAGTCAGTCAGTCAATGGGCTCCAATGGCTGCGTACGTTTGTAAGTCATTGATCACTAACACTAACATTGATCACTTTCTTCAAAAGAAATAGGACGCAACAATGCGGTTCACACGATTGGGATTCCCAGCCTTTTTGATGGCCTTTCCGGGGTTATAATCAAGTGCTCCGGGACCGGACTGCCCCTCCCCGCGTGGGGGGGCGCTCCGTAAATAATAATAATAATAATAATAATCCTTGCACTTAATACAGCGCCTCGTCGCGTCCTTCGAGTCGGTCGCCAAGCGCTTCACAGGAATGCACAGGTCGAGCGAGTTGACCGTGTAACGTGTGGGCGAACCGCGGGCGGCGGCAGCAAACGGTCGTGGGTCGAACTGAAACCAAATTATTGTTATTTTTCTCGAGGGATTAATATCGGGGCGCGGGCGCGGACTAAGGAAACCCGCCCAAGGTTTCCCCCCCCCACCCCCCGGCCCGGCCGGGGAATCAAACCCGGGTCCTCTCGCTTTGTGAGGCCAGCGCTTCTAAACCGCTGAGCGACAGGACTCCCAAGTGCAAGTTGTTGTTGTTTTTGCTGTCATCGTAATCCCAAAGGAGGCCATTCGACCCGTCGCGCCTGTGTGCTCTTCGAGACAGCTACCCGATCAGTCCCACCGCCCGCCCGCCCCCCCCAAACCCCCTGCCCACCCCCCCACCCACCCCACTCTTTCCCCGGAGAAAGTTTTTCCTTTTCAAGCACCTATCTATCTAAATTCCCTTTCGAAAGTTGTTATTGAATCTGCTTCCACCACGATTTTTCTGTTACTTCGCCCTCCCCCCTCCACCCCAATAATTTGCCGACAATAACCAATTAATAATAATAATAATAATAGTTGCCGAGATACTTTGCAAATTTGTAAAATTGAAAGAGACAATCGCAAAGGACCCTCACGCAGTTATTGTTCACAATCATGGATATGAATTCAGTTTTACACCTGATATATAAGTTTCTACGCCCCGGTTGGTGTCAAGTTTCCGTTTAAAAATCATTTAGAAAAAGTCCAACAGATGTTCCAGTTAGTCATAAATCTTCGGGATGATTTGGTATTTCAAAGAGTATTCTAACGGTGAGATTTATGAAAATTATAATAATAATCCTTGCATTTGATATAGTCTTCAAGACGTCTCAAAGCGCTTCACAGAATATACTGTAAGGTGTATCGACTGTGTATTTTGTGGGTGAATGTCCACACTATCATTTTATAATAAAATGTCCTTTTTATTAAATGTAAATTGAGTCCTTCTTTCCTTCAGAAACCTGACTCCAGTCTTTGGATTCCAGTTGAGAGCAAAGGGGAACCTGCAGGCATCTCAAGGGTACCTGGCAATGCTGCTCTGTGCCAAGCACAAGGTGCTGAAATACAAGAAACTAGTTACACAGCTCAATTCCACTCAATGCTACACAACTGACAACAGCCAAGTTGAGATCAGCAAATCTGTACAGTATTTGTGACAAGTTTGAGTATCCAGGATTCAAAAATCCAGGTTTCCTAAATTTGCAACCCAAGCAGTTGTTTCACTTAATGTTTTGACAGGACATGATTCTTGCCCCTTGATATTTATACTTCAGAAATGTATCAGTGTTTTTGATGACTTTTTCTCAAAAGATCAGACTGTCAAAGCAAAAAATTCCTCTGCCAGCTCAATCCTTTAATTCAACTTCCAGAGGGAGTAATAGTAGCAATATTCAACAACAACAACAAATTACATTTGTATAGAACCTTTCATGTCGGGAGGACGTCCCAAGGCGCTGGACAGACAGAGTTACGGAACCGAGCTGGGAGTCGGGGTGGGGGAGGGTGGAGGGTAGGGGGAAGCAGGGAGATCGCAAGCACGGACAAAGAGGAGGGTCTTGAGGTGGGTCTTGAAGGTGGCGAGGGAGGGGGTGAGACGCAGGGACTGTGGGATGGAGTTCCAGAGGGTGTGGGTGCAGAGTGACGGAAGGCCCACCCGCCAATAGTGGGGTGGGCGAGGTGGGGGACGTGAAGCAGGCCAGAGCCCACTGAGCGGAGGGAGCGAACAGGGTGGTAAGGGGTTAGGAGGTCGGAGAGATTGGGGGGAGCAAGACCTTAGAGGGCTTTGAAGGTGAGGACCAGGATCTTGAACTGTATCCTCTGTGTGGTGGGAAGCCAGTGGGGTTGGGCAAGAATGGGGGTGATAGGGTCGCGGAGCCTGGTGCGGGAGGACACTGGCTGCAGAGTTCAGTTATTTTGGCATTTTTTAAAGTATGAGAAAAGGTGGGACATTTTATTTTTTTACTAAGAGTGCTGATTTTAGCCTAATTTACATTACATATGTGATATTTATACCACAATTGATCTCGCAATTAAGGGGACATTTCTCATATTTCACTGATAAATACAGTAGCTTTGATGTTTGCATTAAATGTTTGCTTTGATAGCGCAGCGCCATAACCATAATGCTGTTTAGTGTATTTTTGAATGTAACTTCAATATATTTTGATGTTTATTTCACATTACTTAATAGCAGACTATGGGTGACTTTGTTGAACCTGCCTTGAAAAGCAATTATAAGGATCAATTTGCAATGTTGTCATGCTTTTTGAGAAATAGTGTTTCTCCTGTTTTTATTCATATCTATTCAGCCTACTTGAGAACTCGTCAAATAAAATCATTTCTGAAGATTTTGGTATGATTGATTCACAGTATGAAAGTATGAAAATGTGATGTCTGGATCTATTTGTCTGCTTATTCTTCTGTTCTGGAAAGATATACGGTATAACAAGGAACAAAGGAGGAACCTTAGCTCTGCTTAGCTTCACTATTAAATTTCATTCAACCTCTTTCTGACCTCAATTAGCCTACATGAGGATTACCCTTAATTAATCTCATAATACAGTCACATTAAACACACTCAATGTAATTCTGAGCTGGGACATCTGGAGTTTTCAGAACTACACAGTAAAATATGGTAACTATTTTACCTCAAATAAGAGTAAACATTTAGTTACAACTATGTAGGAGATTCCTTTTATTAAGCAGTAGAATATATTATTTAATTTCCAATTTATTTATGGCCATTCACACGTGAACATAAACCATCATTTCCTAAAACATTCTTCTGTTTCCTTTATATCTGTAAATATCATAATTTATTTGTTAGTTAAAAAAAATAGAAGTGCAGTTGTTTTCCTGTGTGATTATTCTTTGGCAGCCAAATGATTTGTGTGCATTACAATAAATTCACTATTTGCAAAATCAACATTTCAAAACCACTGCTTATTGACTCTGCTGAATACCATTTTCTGGCTGTAATAAGATACTGAAACGCATTCAAGAATAACCATAATATCATGAGAGCTGATAAACTACTCTATTTTAATATGCACCAGGCGCCTGTTGTAGGAATGTTCTAATATCTCAATCTATAGGCAAGAAATATTAGAATTCCCCTGGCTTCACAGTGGAAACCTTTTTGGATCTAAAAAATTATTAACGTAGATATTCGGAAAGGCATGATATACTGAGTAGCAAGAGACTCTTCAAGCTGAAATGTTCTTTTTAAATGGCAAGTACCCTGTTTCCCTTATAAAGTACATTATGAAATTTAACAGGTTTGGTGAGATCCACTCTCAATTTTTGGACCAGATTGAGGCCATGGACTACATTTATGTATGGATTTGTGAAGAGCTTGGAGAAAGAGCAACGGGATGCAGAGACATTGCTGAACTATGAGAGAAACGCTGAGGTAATTGACCAAGCCCTTCTCCCGTTTCCTCTTTTTATCATTAGCATTGTTATCTGAGATCTATCCATATAACCGGACTGTACATATCTCTTGGGCTCTTCAAGCCCAAATCCAAAGTGCAAAATAAATCAGTGTGTGCCTCGGATAAATAATAAAATGTACAGGATATAAAATTGTTTGAATGATCATTCCAAATTTATTTTGACAGTTCCCTCAATTCCATACCATTGACATTGCAAGGCAGAACCTAAGGTACTGTCTACTGTGTTATTATGGGGATACTGTGCATGGGCAATTTGTTAAGTAAATCTTTACAATAAAGTTTATGTAAAATACATTGCAATATATCTTTGAATGTATTTTTATAATGCAGAATTTGCAATTATGAGAAAAACGGACAGTTTAAACGTCCTTGTGGCCTTTTTATGTTTTGTTCTCTTTAGATTTTTTTGTTGGAAAATTCAGGTGGAGTGCTGTAAAACAGTTAAATAAAACAAAAACAGTTTATTGAGACAGATAAGGGGACAACCAATATGTGCATCTATATCACATGCCATGCTGAATGGAAACTAACAGTGTACATAACTAGAACAACTTGTACTATACTTGTATAGGGCGTTTCATGTAAAATAACCACCTGAAGTGCTTTACAAAGTATAATTCATTAGAAATTACGTGAATGTTTTTATAAAGTCAAACACAGCAGCTAATCTACAGCAAGCTTGTTTCACAGCAGATTCTGTTCTCTAGATAGATGGATGCAGAAGGGAACTTGAATCACATAATCCATCTATGTTTCTTCAGCACTTTAACATCACGTTACTGACAGGAACAAACAACTTGTGACGGATATTACACATCATTGAATATGGCAATACAAGTAATCTTGGTGGAGTCTTTAATCAACATATACTTTACCTAAATAACAGTAGCAGAACCCACAAAAAAGGCCAAGTGCAAAATTGTCTGACAATCAGACCCAGCGCTCAAGCACTCTTTATTCCTGTTAATGCACAGGATGTGTGACATCATCATATATGTAACACAAGAACATTACTGGTCACTCACACGCACGGAATCAAAGCCAAAAACGATAGCCATTTTTGAAATGAAAGTAGCAGCTGTCCAAAGAAGAACACTCAACTGTCAGTATGTTCACTTGAAAGCTGCTCTTTGTGCAGCAGGAAGTATGGGCTGAACCCAGCATCAGAGATTGTGGGTTTATTTATTATCAGTAAGTTCCTAATTGGCTTCTTATACGCAGTTTAGCTTAAAGTGTTTCCTTTGACAGAAGCCTTTACTTTGGAGGCAGCGCATAAGCTAAATGAGGCAGTGAGGATACTTCATGATGTTGGTCTTCATTCCATCTCCAGAGGCAGCAACTTCCAGTCCAGAAAGCTAAATGGCTGCCACGGTGACTGGCCACACAGTTTTCTGGCCAGGAATGCGCTGAGCTGTGGTTTTGGCATTGCTGGTTTGCCTGGATAAGGTCTACAAGTGGAAAAAAATTGCAATGCGAGTGTTTCAATGTCTTCGTCTTTATCTGGAATGACACCCTGCAAAATATGTGGTGGAAGGGAGAATCCAAGGCCTTGCTCTCCCAGTCTTTAATTGAACCAGGTCTTAAACAGCTAAATGAAGCATCTGCCCCACTTCCCATTTTAAACTGCAAAGCAAATGGAGTCCTGTAGCTCAGTGGTTAGAGCACTCGACCTGAGTTCAATTCCAGGCAGAGGGCAGAGGGCGAAACCTTGGGCAAGTTTCCTTACTCCACACAGAGCCTAATAATAATCCCTCCAAAACCAAAAACAATAATTAAATTGGTCATTTTCAATCTACGACTGTTTGTGGGACATTGCTGTGCGCAATTGGCTGCTGCGTTCGCCCACAAATATACAGTCAATTCACTTTACTTTTGTTCTGTGAAGCGCTTTGGGTCGTCCTCCCGACGTGAAAAGCGCTATATCAAATGCAAGGATTATTATTAAAGAAAAAATAAAAAAAATAATGACGATATATAATTGTGTATATTACATGATTATATCGCCCATTTTGTACTTACATTAAAATGTTTTCACAACCGACCACTACCAAAATAATCAAAGCATTTATTACCATTATTTCCAGTCAGACTATTCAGGAAATAAAAGTTATGTTTCCATGCACACTGTATGTTAGCTCTTCATACATTTGACAGAGAGTGGGTGGCATGGAATCTATGATGACCTGATTTTATATGATCTGTGGCAGGAGCATGGTTAATTGGCTGAGGGTTCTTTCCCCATTCCATCCTGGACTTTCTGGTCTGTATAACTTTGTAGTACCCAAGATCATACCTTTACCTGCTTGCTCTTTTGTGTATGTGTGTTCCAAGACCGTTTGCGCAAGAACAGCTGGAAAATTGAAAATTCTTGACTGATCAGCCTGCCATATTGCCTCTCTACCTGGTGGGGGGAGCCCTAACCACTATTTGATGCCTCATCCACAGTGACACAATCAGAAGCTCATTGCATTGTATGGAGGAAATAGAGCCAAACTATTTTTCTAGTATTTGCCTGCAGGATCTTGTAATTCTCTCACTGTTTTTTCTATTATTAGTAGCAATCATTTCCAGAATATATATTTTCTTGCCTTTCTTTCTTGTAGGATTCATCATTCATTTTGGATCATACACTGGCATGGACTTTGTGAGTGATCTGATGTGTCAGGTGAGTGACCCAACCACATCAGGCTGTAGGACAGTTGTGTGATATGGAAGGCTTATGATTGTGGGTGATGTATCTACTGATCTAGTTTGTTATCTCAGTTCACATGTTGTAATTCTGAGTAAGACCTGTGGCTGCTCTGGCAATAGATGTATATTACTTGACAATGATCCTCAGCTTGGACATCTTCTGAGGCTGTAAACTATTCGGCCTCATTTGATGATTTAATGTTCTTCTATAACCACTTACTGTTTTTTTTNCTGTGACATTCATGACATCAGAAAAATGATTCAGTGGCAGGTAATGAGAGCAACAATATGAAGGGGAATGCAGGATATTGCTCCATTAAATATTTTTCAGCACTCATGTACTGGAAATAGAGAAAGAATGCTTGCAACATCAGCAACAAGATTACATTTGTATGGCGCCTTCACGTCGATATTATATAATATATATTATATATTATGCAGATTCAATATTAAGGATAGTTTATGTCACTGAAATGGGCACAGAATATTATTTATTTCAATCAATGACTTAACAAACTGATACAGTATTAGCAAGCCAGTTAATACAAATGCTTGAACTTTCAAATATATTGACTGAACTGGAGACTGTATTGGGGAATGAAACTGTATTTCACTATTACTAGATTGCCAAGTCATTGGAGATGGACGTTTTCGCTTGATAAGTTGCTTTGCAACCATGGACTCAGGCAATGTGAGTATTTTGGGGGGAGGGGGAGCTTGGACCTTTACTTATTATACTCTACTATTTATTATCATCATTTGAGCTGATTGATTCAACTTAACTTAATAGAAAAATATAATCCAAAGCAGGAGAGCTCTCCTGAAGCCTGTCCACCTTGTGCATCAACAGATCTCCTCAGTAACCTACTGCTGTGTTACCAGATAAAACTTTATCTCTGTTAACCTTGGCAATGTGGTTGTAGGCCCACCACGCAGCCTAAAATTATAGTTTGTCATAATGCCAGGGATTTTGAAGCAACTTGAGGTGTAGGAACTTTTTTGTGGCTTTCAGCCAGTTTTGTACTACATTGCAATTAACTTGGAAACTGATCAAAGAAATTCTTACTTTGTGAACCTTTTCTAACCCAAGCAAACAAAAAACATTCTTCGAACTGTAATTCTGGCTGCCAAAGATGGTTTTAGAATATTTATCCATTAGTCTAGAAAAGGCAAAACTGGTGCTAGAAAAAAAATTCTTGCTTTACCATAGGGTTTGTCCTAGAGTATGTATATAATACATCAGAATGTTCAATACTATCTGCAATTTTACACCGTACCATCTCACCATCCAAAATCATTGTTCACTCCTTCAATTCGCTTGCACATAAAATGGAGTATGTAAGTAAATAAGGTGTTTTTTTTATCACGGGCTGCACTGCTTATAAGAATAATATTAGTAATAATCCTTGAGTGCCTTCTCACATCGTCAGAACACCTCAAAATTGCGTCACATGATTTACTGTAAAGCGTAGTGACTGTACTTATAACAAACACGACAACCAATTTGGGCAGGGCAATGTCACATGAACAGCCATGACTAATTTTGTCTGGGGAATTGTTGGCCAGGATGCCAGGAGAAATTTCCTTTTCTCTTCAAGTAGTGCCATGCGATCTTCCAGTGAGTCCGCCGGAACATGTAGACAGGACCTTGGTTTTAACATCTCCTCTAAAGGACGGCATCGCTGACAATCTAGCGCTCCTCTAGCACTCACTGGAGCATCAGCCTAGATTATGAGTTTAAAGTCTAGTGAAACATCCAGAATATTCTTCCATTTCCACACACCCACTTTCAAATTTGACCTAATTATCTGCCCAGACAACATTCTTCCACCAGCACAAAAGCCATCCTTAAAGTTTAATAGCAGATGAATCATCACCAGAATATTCGCTATGATATTTTGATTGTGACTTTGTAACTTATCTTTCATTTAGTCAGGTTTGCTTATAATAATGGCATAATTATAATTATGGCATAAACGTTGTGTCCAACATATTTCCTGCTTGTTTCCCGTGGATCAGTCCCCACCAATCAATTATCTGAAATGCCTTGATTTAAAGCCAGGGTGCAGTTTACGGGTATGACAATCAAGCACATCACATCTACATACAATAGAGGAATTTTGCTGGTGATCGCTATACCTTTTCATAGGTGCCTGTGTAATACTTTGTATACATACGTATGTGGAAAATAAGGAAATTGACAGAGCCAATATAATTGGTCTGAGTGTGTTTACAGCGCATTGTTGGAAATATCGAAGCATAAGATGACATTTATTCAGTGCCTAAAAACCCTGGTAAAACCAGGTAAAATCAGATTAATCACTGTTTATATCACACATTCTTCCTGTGTATATCATTGATTTGTGTAGTGTACTGTTGCACAGTATAATATTCAGATTTCTGTTATTTAAAGTGAGCACAACTGTGCCTTTGGCAAATACTGAAGGGATGGAGTTGCTGAGCTGGAAATTTCCTGGGAAAAAAATGCCTTTTCTGTTTTATTATCATTTTGACTCTGGACTTATTTTGCATTTGGAATTTTATAGACGTATACTGCTGCAGAAATTACAGCTTCTTTCATTGCAAAGATATACTTGCCCATTCTCTACTCTTTTATCTTCTCCTCCCCCCTCCCCTCTTAAAGGCTTCGGTTTAGCCTTCTTAAGGCCCTGGCACATGTAGGGGGACAGTTCCATTGGGTACTAGTGGATGGCGGCACCACACAACTCATTGGGCAAGCTTGGTAATCAAAGGTACATTCATACTCATTATCAAATACGTGTACAAAACCACATTATTTATACTCATAGAACGCTTTGTTTTGCTGTGACAGGTTTTGACCCCTCCTCCATCATAATGCTGAGGTTAAATTACTTGCTTGAAACTGAAGATCAGAAGGGATTTGACTTTGGGGAAAAAAATAAGCTCTTATTAATCTCCTTCCTCCCTCCCTCCTCCCCGGGTCTTTCCACCTGTTGACATTTCATTTACACCCACTCATGCTCCTTTAAAACCATTATAAGGCCCATGACCTTGATTCTTCCTCTGTCCCTCCATGAAACACTTTTCCTTGGGACGTCCTCCTGACATGAAGAGCGCTACATAAATGTAATTTGTTGTTGTTTTCCTCTGCTTGGTACTTCCCCATTTGCAAGGTTACCTTCAAGAGACTAGCTGAGTGGGAAACAATAATGGCAGTTTTCTTTTAACTAAACCATTTCCAATTTGTACTCTGGGTAGTTAACCAAAAAACATTGGTTCATTTCACGTATGATTGTGTGTTCTTTGCCGCGCCTAAAAGCATCGAATTCAAACATTGCATTAGCCCTGGTTCCAGACATTGGATTGGTGTGGGAGGTGGTTTTGTTTGTGAGCTGCAGTGGCTTTCATTTTACATTCAGGCAAGAGGACAATAACAGCCGGATAGTTTGTTCAAAAAACGTGCTGCCACAACACAGTAAACCCTGCAGTGATTGCCTTGGCAGCTCAATATCAAACAGTAGTTTCAATATATGTTATTTTATTTGGGATCTGTGCTCCCTGCTGCTGACACTGAGCCAAGCTATGAAATCAGGTTCTTTTCACAGAATGGCTCCTGTCTGCAAGTTGCTGTGCAGAGGGAACCATTCAGGAAGTGCTGTAGCCAATGAGGACCAGCTATAAACGCTGGTAAGGCAGACTGCCCAATTATAGCTGAGGTAGTTTGGAGACTGACAGATCATCAGCCTTGTGTGCCAAGCCCTTCTCTGAGATCTGAGTGTCTGTCCACCATGTTTTCTAAGTATTGACTTAACCCTGTGTTACAGTACAATGCATCCACAGAGGTAAGCACTGAACACTTTCTTCTCTGTACTCTTGAAGAGTTAAAGATGATTTACATGTGCTATTATGGTGTGGCTGTTTTGAAAACTAACAAGCTAAGCACTCTCATGAGCTGAAATGGTTGAGTTTTTACTTTTTTGCTTGCCTTGGGTCACATGTTTAGCAGTCAGTGCCATCCTATTTTCAGCTCTGATCTGTTCAAAGTGTGACCATCTGTGTTTTATTCCCTCAAGAAGGAGATTTGACTTATTCTTCTCACCGTCCTACTCTTCACTAATAGCACTGTAGTGGCCTTCTCTTTAAAAGAAGGTGTCTGCACTGTTGTGCAGCTGAGTCACATGCCTGTTGGTGGGCAAATAGAAGGAGCAGCACTGAAGCAGGCCATTGCCCTACAGGGAGCCAAGGCAGGCTACAGCTAGTTTAAATTACAAACAAGATCACCATCATCACTAAAAAGGTAGGATACAGATTACGCTGTACCAGAATTAAATATAGATTCAGTTCTGTAACGTATGCAGTTCAGCATCTTAGCTGGTTTGAAACGTGGCAAGCAAATGGTAAATTTTTACTGCAAAAAAGGAATGGAGGGGGAGGATGGAAAGGAAAGGACGGAACCTAAAGCAGCAGGATTTTTTAGAATAGTTCAGAAGCAGACAATTGGACAGTGCAGAGTACTGTAGATTAGTGCAGTATGTGATGCTTACATCCCACTTGTGGCCAGGCTACTTTTGGGAAAGGTGTGTGATGTTGCATTGCTTTGCATAGATATGATAAAGCTCAGGCATGCACATCTGCTTTGTCTGGTCTTAGGGTCGCTGAATGATGAAAATCTGATTAATCTGTTTTTTTTAGCGAAAGCATAAACTAATATCTTACCTAATCCTTAACACGCCATACATCAAAGTACGAATGCACAGCTCACAGCATTCTGGCTTGTGTTAATTTATTTAAGTGATGTAATTTATTTATGTGATGTTCCTCTTAGCCCCTGTATCAATTAGCATTCCTCCCGATTTGGAAAAAAAGGATATTGGAGCCTAGGGGCATCTTGCTGGAGATCATCAATGCTTTGCATCATTAACTCATGGAGTTTTTGAGCAGTCTCTTCCCCACCCCCACTTCTCTCCTTCCCAATAACCTGGTTACATCCAGTGCTATTTTACAGAATGGTATTTAAGCTGTGGTTTCTCGGGTGTAGATCTGGAGCTTACAGTTGCAGCTGGCTACTGCTGCTGCATTTTAATTTTGGAATATGAGAAAAGCGTCAAATGACTATGTTAGACGAAGAAGGCAAAAGTGGCTTGCTACGTTTAATAAATAGGCAATGTAAAACTAGCAGGGTGTTGCAGTAAAATCACTTTTGAAAAATCATCACTGGTTTGCTTGACATTGCCTAGCAGACATTTACCACAGAACTGCAACCATGATTCAGCCAACATCCTCCATTCAGGCAGAGAACAATAGGAACATTTTTTTCCCCAGCTCTATCTTATTTCTCCCTGTAGTTCTTGTATATCAGCTGCCACCGAGAGCTGCCAAACAACTCTGCCAAAACAACTGTGGACGTGGTGGTTGGGAGGTGTACATAACACAGCTCCCCTTCCTCCAGGGTTCCCTTTGCATCCATTATAGTGAGGAAATGGCCGTCGACAGAAAAGCAGCTGAAATCAGGAACTCAGTACCATGGGGAAATCATGGCCAAACAGCTCTTGTCTGTTGGTGCTGCAATGTGTTTCTCTGTCATTTCCCTTAATGGAGGTCAGTCTAAGTTGTCTTTTTAAGCAGTAAACTGAAGGGTTTGATCTTGACATTGTGTTGAGAGGAAGGAAAATGAGGTAGATGATTGGCAATTGAATAGACGCTCACTGA